AAGCACTCCCCGGTTCAAGTGACAGAGGAGGTGTGTTTCCAGGAGGGTTTCAGACAGGAAGGTTTGGAGGGAGCGCGAGAGGTGTCTGGCTCGACTCAACAAGCTGCACTTCACCTTCCAGCTGCTCTCTGTCCCTTTGGATTCAAGGCAGGGGGAGGGAGCAGGGCCCACAGGGAGAAAAGGAGGCAGGGTCTGGATGGTGGTGGTGGGGGTCAGGGGACGGGTGGGGGCACTAGGTGGACTGGCCCTGGAAATTTCCGTTGTATGTTTCAGCTCTGTTCAGGATGGGAGGGGTTTGGAGTTGGAGTTCTGCTTGGGGGGGGGGGACTTGGCAGCTAGGCAGCCACAGCAGGAAGCTTGCTAGTTTCACACGGACAAAAAAAAACCTGTCCTGGACGCGGCCCGGCTATCTGAGCGCAGCACTCCAGTTGTCACCAATAAAAAAAAAAAACAGGAACCGAGGAAAAAAAAGAGCTCTGGTGGCGGGCAGAGAGCGACTGCTACCTCCTCACAGCTGCACGCCACATTCATGTATCTGTTTTTGATTAAGTGAAGAAGAGCATGCGCACTGTTCTCCTGCCTTTAAAATCATCTCCTAACATTTGTTAAATTCTGTCACATCCTCAAGTTCTCAGCATTTTTACTTTACACACTTGTTTTTAACAACAGTCATTTGTCAGGTGGACTTTCTTGGAAGCTGCCCCCACCCCGACCTTGCCCTACCAGCTGCACGCTACATGTAAACATCCTCATTAACTGAATCTAAACAGGCAATCATTAGATCATCTTTTGAGTGTGTTTCACAATAACATCTGACATGCAAAGGGATTATAAGAACATTAAAAAAAAAACCTTTAAAGACCAACTCTCCATAAAAGATCAGGTCATAAAAACACCAGCAAACATCAAGGAAGCAGGCGTGGTAATTGTCCATGCATGAAATGTTTTCTTTGACTGAAAGGGATGCCGTGAGTTTATTTGGCTTGGCAAAGGTCCAGCTTTTTGAACCGGAGGCAGGCAGAATCGGAGCGGAGCAAGAGCCAGCAGGCCCAACAGCAGGCCCCGGAGAGCAGGAGGTGCTGCTGTGCATCAGGTGGGCAGGAAGTGTGTGTGCGGTGTGTGTGTGTGTGTGTGTGTGTGTGTGAGTGTGTCACAGAGGGGAGGGGACCAAGGGGCAGGTGGACACTGGTGCAGCTTACTGGGAGCACTGGGCCCCTAGCAGGTGGATGCTCAGAGAATGGAAATTTGAAAAAAAGAGGGATTAGGAGGATGAAAGGAAGCTAAGGATTACTTGTCTCCTTTTCTCCACCAAGGATGGACTACGAGCCGTGGCTCTCATACCAAAACACCCATTACCGACTATAAGAAAAGAATTTAGAGGCCAATAAAACACTTTTCCAACCATGTAATTGATTTAAAGCAGTTTGCTTTTAGAAACCAAAGTTTCTGAATCTGAATCATTATGTGTTTTATATTTATACATTATTTATCTTAGCAGCAGTAATTAGAAAAGACCTCTAGTCTTTACCAAGAAATGCTAATTTGTTCATAATTATAGCTTCTTAGCTTCAACCAAATGATGGCTGTTTTCACTTATATTCTAATCCAAAGAGAGAAAGTGGAACATCCTTGTATTAGAAAATCATTAGCCCTACATTTATTCAGATTTTTGCACAAAGTTGAATTTAGGAATAATTCTTATCTGCTCTTTTGCTGACAGAAAGATGCAAATTAGCTTAAACATTAGCTGTTTTCACAGGGGAGCTGGCAGGAGAAACTCAGGATAAAGTAAGAGTCAAAAACATGGTTGTTTGCATCACATATACAGCTCCTCTGGAAAAACTTCAAGAGATTTTGAGGAGTTTTGTGCAGGTGATATGAACAAGGCTTTTATTTCAGAGGAAGTATTATGTGGATAGTGAACAGCTTCCTGTACTGCACAGAGCTGCAGGGTAGCACATCTTGGTGGGCAGCACTTCATTTAAATGCCACACCGCCTCACTTACATGCACAAGCTCCGTTGCTCCAGAAGTGGACCTCAGCTCATCTCTTACATTGTGTAGAAACTACGTCGTCTCATGTCTCATTCAGCAGTAAGTAAACTCACAGTATAAACTCCTGAAGTCATCAGTGACGCTCTTTGAGTGTGAGCTAGAGCACACAAGAGGTAGAGAACGAGCAGGGAGACAGGGAGGCGTCTGATTGGTTCATCAGATTGGTACCTTGTGGCAGACATTGGTCAAAGTTTTTACAGACTTACAAACTGATACAGATGATGGATTTTCTTTGTTTCTTTTTCAGAGAACATGAGTTATTAATTTCTGTCAGGACCTAAAGACAATTTACACCAACATCTTTAAAAAGTGAATCTGGAGGAAATTACCACCCCTGACATTAACTTGAAAAATAAACTCTTTTTAATGTATTTAAAGATTGCCTACTTTTATTTGCTTTCATGCATTTGGCCTAATTGGTTAATTAGCTTGCATTCCAGCTCTGCCTCATTTAAAAAATATTGTGTGAGATGGAATGTGTGTTCGCTATCCCATAACAATTCATAAATTCTGTAAAAGGTGACTTAAAGAGGACATATTATCCCCCTCCTCCTCCTTTTCAAACAGTCCTCTGTGGTCTAAATAAAACATCTGTGCTTTGGTCAAAATATAACATGAATCAAGCACCAGAGGAGGTTTGTGACCCTGTATAAACCAGCTCTCTCAGAATGCTCCGTTTTGGTGTGTGTGTCTCTTTAAATGTAATGACCCCACCTGAGTTTCCCCAGTAGACATCACTCCTCTGTAGAAAGAATAAAAATGGCAGACCTGCTCAACAGTTTTGCTCTAGGCTGAAGATGGAGTCCATGGGTGGCGATATCAGGGGAGGGGATATTTTTTTTACCAGAATCCCACTGTGACATCACAAGGAGAGCAAATTTGAAACAGAGCATTTTTCTCTGTGTTGTAAGAGATTTATGCAGACCACAAACAAAGGACTGGATGGGTTTATTTCACATTTTGTGGGTCAGTAGACACTCACGTTACCAGATATATGTTCAAAAACACTGTCAAAGTTTTCATAATATGTCCCCTTTAACTCAATAAGGATGTGTTACACTTGAAAAGAAAATGTAAATTAATTCACCAACCTTTTCATCCCTGCGCTCATTACTTGTTGTACAAGCTGACAGCAATTATTTGAATTATTTAGAATAAGTCCTCTGCACCATTTCACTGAATGGATAATCTTGTCAAAGTATGGTCAAAATGACTCTCTTATATAGTTGTCATCCTCAGGACCCCATGCTGCTCAGGTTGTTTCTGTTGTTGTGTTCCGGTGAACATGACCTCTGCAGTGGATTATGGCACACAACATTATTAATTCATGTCCAGGAACGATGGAAGCGGCGCAAGCTTCCTCTGAGTATTGTCCATCTGTTAGCTGCCCTACTGTACACACACACTAATGCAATATGTGAGTTCTCAGGAGGCGGAGGGCCACTAATGGCCGTCCATGTGTTAACACTTCACACTATTTATCCGTGTAATAACACCACCGTTAATTATAATTAGTGCCTTGTCGTTGCTATGAGATTTATCTGTCCCTGCAGGAGTGCAAGGTAAACAGCGAGTAAAAGTGTGACCTCGCCGGTTTTATTCGATCACCCTTGTGCCTGACAGCAATTCACCCTCTCACAAGACACCCCCTAACATGGGAGAAAACCTCACGTCTAATTGTGATTACTGTGTAATCTGTCTCCGAGGACTGCTATAGGCCTACACATCATTTTTTTTACACAAAGCTACAGATCATTTAATTTACTCCTGGGGAGCTTTCAGCATTAGCCTGTAATAGAAAAGGGAGATTGTTGCCAGATTTTCCAACACAAGTGCCTCTGTATCCTCATGAAACTAAAGCAGCAGCAATCATGTTTTCTTTATTGATCGCGTCTCATTCTTAATAAGCAGAAGGCTGCGCTTAAGTTGTTCAAAGTTCCCCAGGCAGATTAAGATATTACAGAGCAATATGTGATGATTTTTTTCAACCCTTGAGGTGGGCTCTCATCATTAAAATTTTCCACAAATCGTGCAGATCAGAGCTCCTGAAAGTACCTATAACTTCTGCATATTCCTTTCAAATTACCTTTAAATTGAGCACACATACAGATTCAAATGCACTGAGGGTGATACCTATACATTATGCTGTGTCCATCTGTCACTATGATGCTGTAATTGATGTGGCACAGACACACGCAACAACTCTTTCCTCCAAAACATAAATTATAAGGAAGAAAAAAAAAGGTGTTAAGACTCAGCTGTCGTGTAATGAAATGCGCCGAAATGGATCAGCTGCAGACACTTTACATAATAATTTCCTCTGTTTCTGAGGAGCGATGCATCAGTAGTGGACGAATAATAACACGCTCTATCATGTACTGTAAGACTCCTACACTACTACACACATGCAACATCTGAGCATCTCCGGGGACTGCTAATGTAGCCTATGTGTGTATGTGTGTGTGTGGCATTTGCTTCCCATCTTCAGCTCAAAAAAACACACAGCTGCTACAATAGACTGCAGTGTGAAGGTGGAGGGGTGTCTCTCTTTGATCTTTAAATACCCTCTAACGTTAAGGCACGCTTTGATTTTTTTTTTCCCTCCACAACTGTTGTGCAAAATGCAGACGCTCCCTTGAATCCTCCTCTCAGTACAGCGGAGAATGCAAGAACACCTATCCTCTCCTTTTTTTTTTTTTTTCTCTCTCTCTCTCTCTCTCTGTGTGTGTGTGTCTTCCTCCGGCAGCACCACCATCTGTCCCTTTCTTCCATTTCATGTGCTGGAGCAATATCCACACCCCTCTCATAGCAACAGCACAGCAGCGCCGCCGCCCCCCTCCCCTGCGCGCCTTGCAGTGGATTTTTCTTCCCCTGGATCTTCGCCTCGCACCATGCAGACGGTCCCTTGGCCCTCTCTCCGCCTGACGGTTCAGTGTTGCCCCCTTCCCCACCAGCCAGCCGTGCTCCTGTTTCACTCAAAGATGGCGTCGGCTCTAGAACCCCTTGGTCTGTGGCTGCATTTTTAAGGCTTGTTGTTGTCTCTATTACGCACGGGTTTGGCACCTTCTCCTCGGCGGGCTCGACACCAAATCCCGGTGAGTAAGCAGCGGAAGCCGAGTGGATGATAACAGATTTTGTTTTTTGTGTGTTTTCAAAAACGGGGCTGCTTCACCAGAGCGTCCCCCTCGAAAAGCAAGAACCGGACCCGCTCGGGCTTTCATCAGGGGGGAACCAGCGAGAGGGAGAGAGGGGGTACATAGGGAGGAGGGATGGTGCTTGGTGGGTGTTGGGGGTTACGGAGAGGAGGGGGAAGCCGAGGCCTAGCTCCTCGGCTCCAGAGGGCCTTGTCTTCGCAGCACCGCAGGCTCTAGCGTTACGTGGGAGGGAGAGGAAGTCAGCGAGGTGGGGACGCGTCTCTCGGAGAAGAGAGGGGAGGCCACACGGCGTGCAGGGCTGCAGAAACCGCGGCTACGATCTCTGGTGCTGTTTTTTTTTTTTTTTTTTTTTGCACTTGCCTTCTTCTTAGCCGAGATGGCCGTCTACAAGTTGCATTGTGCCTCATTACAAGGCCGCAGTCGTAACATCTGAATGACCCTCACGGAAGACTACCTGGTGTGTTTTCTGTTTTTGTTTTTACGCGTTATCTGGAAATATCGGGGACGATGGCTAACTCCTGGTTTCCCTGCTAGCCGAGGGCGCTGGCTAACTCCTGGTTTCACGATCGTAACGTTAGCTTTAATTTCGGCTAGCGTGCTAAAACAACAGCTGTTTTTGTTGTCAGATACTCTTACTGACTAATAACACATCAGTGAGAGTAAACAGCACCTAACAATGCGGCAGCTGGCAGCTTTGATTTTTTTTTTGAGCTAGCATCTGAAGCTAATGTTTGCTAACAAGTCTGTGTTTTGACTGCATCATGTTTACGTTAGCAACACATGTAGACACCTGCACAGCATGCATGTGTCCTTAAAGGATGTTTTTGTGTAAACTTATTGCTTAAACACTAACATTTCATGTGCTAGTTCTAGTGTTTAGAGCACTTTCACTTCACAAAACTCCCAGGCATCCAAAACACATGCAGCTCATTGTGCTCTAGTCATTATTCTATCACTTTGTTTATTTCTACTGTGTTGCAAGTAAATATTAATTTTAGACCACATTAGGGCTATTTTAAGTATGTTATTGTCTGCACAAAGTGAGGATTATGTTTTTCTCAGTGTAAGATGTGCACTCACAGGTGAGCAGGTGTGAATGAAAATAGAAAATGAATGCTGCACGGATGAGAGACAGACAGAGTTTCTGCATGTTTGTTTGGTTTTTGCATGGGCTACGACTCACTGTAGTTAATTCAGGAAGAATGCTGCATTATATTTCTTATTGAACAATAGTAAAACATTTCAGGGGACCCCTATTCTATTTTCGATATGACCTCATATGGGGTCTGGACCCTGAGGTTGGGAAAGCCTGGTCTGCTTTATGAGTAAGGGACACAATATTAAGTTTGGAGCTGTGAATGTCGTCTATTTGAGCTGTACTTTATTATTAAGTAATTTCATAGTATTAAATCGCCTTACCCCCAAAAAAAAACGGACCCCTAAACTGACTGATTATACCTCCGTCCTCCACCTCACAATAATTTTGGATATTTTATTACAGAAAATCAATTTGAAAATGACCAAAAACAGTCACATTCTGTCGCTGTTAGGCTTTTACAGTTGAAATACTATTCCACTCTTAACCTGGGACCCCTTGTAACCCCCTTAGAGGGCTTTCACACTTGCAGAAAACTCCTGATATTTACAGGAGGGGGCTGAATGTGTGAACGGAAACAGCCAAATGTTCACGAGGTCTTTATCCAGAGTTTTTCCTGACGGGTGGTGACGTTTATTCCATGCAATCGGTGCACGATGAAGACTGTTTTTGCGTGACCGCTACGATCTCCGTGGATGTATACACGTTCTGTTCTCCAGTATGTTCTTCTCCACTCTTTTGTTCATATTTTAATTCTGTTGAACTATACATAGCATTGATTTAAAGACAAATATTCTCATAATAGTACTGTACAGCAGACTTTGTTGCTCGGTCCACCACTTCCTTGTTGTTGTTTTATCTCACGTCTTGCCTCAGGATCCCTGCACCCCTCCTGTCCGACAGGGATAGTGTCCCGCTGTGAGGTGCATGTGTGAACAAGCAAGCGAGGAGAATGTCAGGAGCAGTCCTCCTGAAGTTATGCATGTCAGACAGCAGCAACAGCGGTTGGAGCCTTTCAATATATGAATATTTCTTACTGTCCTTGACAGCTTCAAGCCGTTGTTTGTCTGATATAGCTCTGAAGCATTGGTCAGGCTCATCTCTGTCTCTCGAGACAGAGGTGCGGAAGGCGTTTGTTGATCCACTGACCGGCTTAACTCATGTCTTCTTTTCTTCACATTGCTTTCTGTAGCTGCAAAGCTTCCTTTGTTGCTGTTTTATCCGTTCTTATGGCTACACCTGTGCGCTACAAGCTGAACTGAACATCACCATCAGTGAACAAAACTTATTTAAACACTTTTGATGCTAAATGTATATCTGATGCACAGGAGAGGGGCTGTGATTGGAGGACAGATGTCCCCTCTGCAGGCGTGATCAGTGCATGATGTGCTACTGGGGGTCTCTGATGATCTGATATGGGATCAGAAAAGTGTGGTCGAGTTATTACAGAGAAGTTACGGGACAAGGGGTGACCCGCTTTTGAAACCTTATTGATAAGGAATATGCTTAAAGTTAGTCGTAGAAAGTTCTTTTGGATACCTTTTGAGTTTTTTCCAATGAACTCCATGCTACAGGGAAACTGCATGCTTATTTACAAAACGGGTAGCAGGTGTCCATAAAGTGATGACATCTTTATTTCTTTGGGGTATTGTTGATGGTGCATGGTTTAACGTCATTGTTCTTTCTATGAGAGCATGAACAGCTTTGTTTATGTCTCTGACATTATTTTCCTTCTACATAGAAAATGTTTTGATTTTTTTCTCTGATATTTTTCTAACCCCTGTCTCTCTTTTTCTATTTCCTTTGTCTTTGCAGGATTCCTCATCCACCAACGTGCAATACTAGGCGTGCAGGGGATCAACCCCGGTTGCTCCCTGTGGTGAGAGATCTGCTCCGTCCCAGAGCCGAGAAGCCGAGACTACTGGAGAAGTAAAAGGACAGAACAGGAAGCGATTACGAGGAAACGCGGCGGCAAAAAAACAAACCTTGTGGAATGTTGTTTTCCTTCATCTTCACTGTATTTGACTCGCCTTGATCGTCGAAGCACTAATTTCATATCTCGGAGACCGTGATCATCGTCCAGAACATACATTGAGATCTGCCTGGTTGACATTTTTAAAAACTATTTATTGGGAGTTTGCCACAGGCGAAGCAGGAAACATCTTATTTTTGTGGAAGTCCTTCTCATCAGGATCTACTCCGACCTCCTTTGTGTACCGTGGAAGTTTAACTTGTTCATACACATCTGCTACTTCCTCCACCCCCCCTGCTTCTTGCCAGGGAGCTTCACCTGGCTAGGAGTGGGTGGTGGGTAGACTGCATTTCCCCGGGTGGAGGGTTGGGTGGGGTTTGTGCTATGGTCAGCTGTTTATTACCGTGCTGCTCATACTCAGCTTCTGAGGGACTCTCCGTACGACCCCAGGACAAGGGATAGTAAGCAGGCAGAGGGCAACAAGGAGGAGGAGGCGGCGCTACGGCGCAGGCCAGGTGTTTCCTTGGCTAACAGTCTCTATTTTTGTGTGTGGTCATTGCGGTGAGGCCCCCCCGCCCACACTCAGACCACAGCCATGGTGAAACTGGCAAACCCAACGTACACACAGTGGATCTTAGAGGCCATCAAGAAAGTGAAGAAGCAGAAGCAGCGACCGTCAGAGGAGCGCATTTGCAATGCCGTCTCCATGTCCCACGGCCTGGACCGCAAAACGATCCTGGAGCAGTTAGAACTCAGCGTGAAGGATGGCACCATTCTTAAAGTTACTAACAAGGGTCTCAACTCTTACAAGGACCCGGAGAACCCTGGGCGCTTGGCTCCGCCCAAGTCCAAAAGTAGTGGCAGCTCTGGAGGAGGAGGAGGCGGCGGCAGCAGCGAGAGAAGCAGCAGTGGAGGAGGAGGAGGAGGAGGTGGTGGTGGTGGCAGCAGCAGTGGTGGCGGCTCCCACTCCCATTCTCACTCCCATTCCCATTCCCACTCCCACTCCCATTCAGGGAAGAAACCGGGACTCGACTGGAACAAGTTGATCAAGCGGGCTCTAGAGGGGCTCCATGAGCCCGGCGGCTCCGGCTTAAAGAACATAGAGCGCTTTCTCAAATGCCAGGCTGATGTGGCGGCCTACTTATCGGGCAGTGGCTCCATGGGGCCCGGTCTCTTCCACCAGCAGCTGAGGGTCGCCCTGAAGAGGGCTGTTGCTCACGGACGCGTGGCCAAGCAAGGTCCACTGTTCCAGCTCATCAGCCGCAGCAGCACCCTGGACGATGGGACCGGCACGGTGTCTCTGGAATCCCTGCCACCTGTGCGGTTGTTACCCCACGAGAAAGACAAGGTATTGTACCTGCCACAAACAAACATAACAAACTCTGTGCTCACCGTAGACATCCACACTGATTGTAAACACCCGGTCACATTTGATGTCTGCATTATCGGGCATGTATGCTCCTGACTTCTGTCGTTAACAGAAAAGACAAGATGCATGCTCAGAAAACAAATAGGTGTTGGTCACGTTGGTGTGGTTTGTGTGCGAGAGGATCCCTGATATCTGTAACAACTGTAAGTGCTTCATCAGCAACAAGACAAGAGGGTGTGTTCCGTGTTTTAACACTTTTTTAAAAGCAACACAGAAAGCAGATGAGAAAGCTTCAAAAAGACCCCCCCTCTTTTTGCAATCGACACAACATACAAACCTCTTGGATTACACCCCTGCAGCACACACAAAAGGGTCCAGATCCAGATCCACCAGCTGGGAATACCAGAGGCTTTGACTCTGCATTTCCTCTGCTTGTTCATGTTGGCCATGGTCTATATGGCTGTTATTCACTACAGTGCAGTGAGGTCTTTGACAGAGTTTTCATTCCCCATATGGTGCACGGCTTTTCACCAGATTTTTGTTAGACTTTCTAGAGACGAGAAAGATGTTATGAGTTTGTGTTGTGGCGGCCAGGGGTATCACATTTGAAGTCACACACTGAACCAAATGTGTTAGTGTTTCTCCAGATTGTCCAAATCCCAGGAGTGAGTGTGTGTGCTCTGTGGCCCAGGGGAGCACTACTAGTGCTGGGTGGGCCTCTGGTGGGCCGGTTCTAAGTGATGCTGGTGGAGGAAGAGGTCAGGGATGTGAGAGTCACATGGCTCCCAGCCTCCAGCAGCGAGTGTGGACCAGCTGCGGGGCTGCTCCCTGTCAGTAGCTGTCAGGAGATGAGAGGAAGAAGGAGAAAAAAGAGGGGAAGGGGAGGAAACTCAGACGAGAGAGAGAGAGAGTGGTCTGTAGTAGTGCCAGAGGAAGAGGCCTGGATGACGCAAGCTAAGGGCTTCTGTAACCAGAAAGAAAAAGAGCAAGCAGCCAACACGGGCGGGAGAAGAAAGCGAGGGAGACAGAAAGAGTTAAGAGGGAGAGGCAGACATGCAGGCGACAGAGGAGAGAGGGAACACACCCACTTTTGTAACCTGATCAGAGAGAGAGCAATCGGCCGCTGCCCTCTGCTTTCTCAGGGCTGCAGACACTCGCACATGAAACCATACGGCTGCATGCAACGAAACCAACACAGAAAAGCATCTTACATGACCAAACACACCCACGCAGTTCACATGTCATGAATCCTCTTACTACTAAAGATGCATGCAAACATACTTGTAAATAAACCCGTCGGAGCTACACACGACTGTCTGTGCCAACATCGTGACCCATCATCGGGTCATATATCACTCAGGATATCAGACCGCCAGTATATCCTGCAGACGCTAGACCGGCCCTAAACACTGTTTTGACTGGCTGCTGGCTTTATCTGGCCCCTGTGTGGGTGTGAGTGTGTGTACAAGTCTGTGCAGCAACAGAAAAGCTCCTGGTAAAGATGCACGCAAACACACACACACACACACAAGTAGGATTAGCCTAGAGAGCAGGCTGGAGTCACATCTAACACAGTGACCTGCTTGGCTGCAGATGGCCTACCTCCTAAGACGAGCCGAGAGCAACCTCCTCTCTCTCTCTCTGACTCGGGCTCAGATCAGCCAGCTGCCTCACAGAACCACATGACGAGACGAGCGCTGTGACCTTAAGCATTGTGACAATAACGGGAATACAGTGTTTCTGTAGGAATTAATCTGTGTTGTTGATTGCACCAGTAAAAGTTTCTGCAGTTTCACACCCAACACTGAGAAAAAAACGGACTTATGGCACACCGTTTTGCTTTAGCCCCTTTTCCAACAAGCGGTCCGGTTCAGTTCGGTTCGGTAAGGTACCCATTTGTTGGCGTTTCCACCGTCAAATGTTGGAAGTGGTACCAAAGTAAAGGATACATACCGTTGTACTTTTTTGGTACCCTTCTGTTGGGGTGCCAAGGGTACAGATCCGACCCTAAAGGGTCCCGTTTGTTTACTGTGTCCCTCTTCTTCTTGAACGTTTAACTCAGGGGTCTCTAACCTTTCTTCATCTGAGAGCTACTTGCATCACATTGCTTGCATTTATTTACACAGCACACATCAGCTAATAAAGCTACTGTTTGTACACGTGTGAAATTGCAATAAGCCAATGTATCAAGGTCCAAGAAAAAAAAAAACATGAATATTTTACTCTTCTTAATGTGCCACATAGTCAGCTATGTTGCTGAAAATTCACAATATCCAAGAAAACATGACACTTTACACCTGTTTTTATGAACCAAATATATGAATAGTGCGAAGAGGTGCATTTACTGTTGTCTGATTTTAAAAAAAAAAAAATGTTTAAACACAATCAGTCAGTCAACTGAAAACCTGCCCGCGAACAGCGAGTTACCTGTTGGAGACCCCTGGTTTAATTAATAGCGGGCTACACTGTCTTTGGCTGCTATGATGATGTCACACTATAACATAGCTGATGCGGCTATCTCCATCCGGCTTACACTCCGCTTACCAAATAAGGGAACATTTGGCTGTGGAAGCACAAGCAAGTTCAGGGTTTACTGTACTGAACCAAACCGGACCGCTTGGTGAGAAAGGGGCTTTGAGAACCCCCTCCGGTTTCACAAAGCAATTATTATTAAGTAAAATATAAAGGACCTTAAAGGGACGCACTGTCGTTTGAAAGTTTCATCTTGAAGCATTGTTGGGCGTCAAGGAGCAGCTGCAGCAGTGTGGACGTTGACATTTGCGTTTGGTGTTCACACACGCCTGTCTACCCTTTCCTCTTGTGATGTTACCTCCAGAGGATGCAGCTATATTGCTGCTCAATCACATGTGTTATGCGAGTGACTGTTGGGTGTGTATTTGATGTATGTGATCGTGGTGCATGCTTCAAAGAGATTGTAACTGCGCACAGGAGAGACAGAGCCTGCTTGTTTGCACGATCGCTCTCCTCTTCTACTCTCTCTTCCACTGATGCATCATTGCCTTACTGCCCTGCGTGATTGCAAACAGTTATGACTTCACAAGGAAAAGGCGGGAGAGAGAGAGAGAGTGAGAGTGTAAGTGTAGGATGGGGGGGGGAGTAAAATCAAAACAAATGGCCAAGCACTGGCTTTGACCCCATTTGCTGGGAGATTTGTGTACTCAACATGCTCATGTTTGTGTCAGAGCGCTCCATTCAAACGGGATCTGAGACCTTATTTCTGTCTCCCCCCCTCCTCACCCTAATAGGGTGCCATTGCCAGGTCATGAAGGGGGAGTGAACGGGTGAGTGAAGTCAACCAGGGGTCACGGGTATATAGATGGCAAACCTCATTGCTTCCCTGAGCGCCCGTTAGCAGTATGAGGCTACGGCCATTAGGTGGGATGGGTTCGACGCTGTGTGTGTGTGTGTGTGTGTGTGTGTGTGTGTGTGTGTGTGTGTGTGTGTGTGTGTGTGTGTGTGTGTGTGTGTGTGTGTGTGTGTGTGTGTGTGTGTGTGTGTGTGTGTGTGTGTGTGTGTGTGTGTGTGTGTGTGTGTGTGTGTGTGTGTGTGTGTGTGTGTGTGTGTGTGTGTGTGTGTGTGTGTGTGTGTGTGTGTGTGTGTGTGTGTGTGTGTGTGTGTGTGTGTTGTGTGTGTGTGTGTGTGTGGTGTGTGTGTGTGTGTGTGTGTGTGTGTGTGTGTGTGTGTGTGTGTGTTGTGTGTGTGTGTGTGTGTGTGTGTGTGTGTGTTGTTCATCCCGTCATAATAGAGAAGAGCGATTTCCCTGCCCCACGGTTGCCCTCTCCTCAACAGCTGGAGTGGGGTGAAGCAGAGTTCTCGATGTTGATGACGTGTAGTGTCACGGTGATGACGTGTGAAACAAGTGACTCGGGGAACCACACACACGCTTTCTACTTGTACGCAACGTTAAAGAAGTGGTGATTTCCCTCCTAAAGAAAACGTCCCACTGACCCCTTAACAAACATCCTGCAGCTAATGGTTCCTGCTACTGTAAGCAACTCTACTATTACAAGCCATAATAGATCTTTTTATGCACAGTGATGTGTTTGCGTTGGTTTATCCCCCGACAGTCGGCCGTTTAACAGCACGTTATGTGTTTGCTCAAGGTGAAGACATCATGTGACACCACTTGGAGGGCTGGGAATACAACATGTCCTCACACATTCATTATGTGCTGCGGGTGAAACCTGCTTCTTCATCCTTTCTCTCTCTTTCTTCCCGTCCCCCCCTCTTTCTCCCCCATGACATTTTGGAGTCAGAGGAGATGGTTTTGTGTGCATGCTGCATGGATGGAAACATTCTCATGGTTACCACTAGGCCACAGCATTTCTGGGGGAAATGACTAAGCTGGTACTCATGAAGTGGGTTCTTTTAAATCTGACTCAGAGAAGTTGTAACACAATGTGCCCAAACGTTTCTATTTATCCAGAGCCCTCTCCTCAATCGACACATTTTCAGATCCTGATGAGACGACTGTAAACTCACATCGCTCAGCTACCACAGGCCGACTTCCTGTGTAACATTAAATGATGTGTACAAGCAGAGAAAACAGCTGATCTATAATGAGATGTTTGTTTTGTTTTGGTAGTCTCTGGAGTTCTGCTCAGGTTGAAGAAAAAAGACATTTCACTACTCTCAAACTTTAAAGAACTTCCAGATTCAAAAAGTGTTTTTTGTCACAGGCTCTTTAGTTGGACATCACATTTTTTTTAAAGTTTAGGTTGGGTTCATTATGCCTTTTGTTACGGCCCTTCTGCCAGCAGGACTTCTTGTTGTGCTTTGTCCTTCTGTCCCTATTAGTATTCGAAATTTGTCACTTTTTGAAGGTCTCGTCTCGGAATCAAAAACATTTTTACATGTCTCGGTCTCAGACAGAGCAGACTCCAGATATTAAATCAAGACTAGTCAAGACCACCACGTCGTCACTGATTAGAAGAAGAACTAAGTCAAGTCAATATTTT